CATTCTTTTTTTTCCACCTCTCTTTGGTGTCTATGTGTGCACGCGTGTGTGTATTTATGTCTTTATTTGTGTTTAGTGTGCGCACAAACACCTCAGCATACCCCACCTCACATATGTCTCAGTCCCCTGTTTGTTGCTCTCAGTGGACATGATTTAGTACGCACACAAAAACACATACACGCACACACACCTACGACTCAACTGTTGGATGGGATCATAAAAGTAAGGCTTCATCGTCTCTTGCTGTTAAGAAAACAGGGATGTTTTTCACCCACCAAAAGGGCAATAAACTCTGTCTCACAGGGAGTAACACACTTGAGCGGTTAGCTCGTGGGGGGAGGAGAAAAAAAAGAAAGAAAAAAAAGCAGCGCACCTGTCATTCACTCCCGGTTACGGCAGCAAAATCTGTGGGAATCCGACCACGGTGTATGTCAGTCTATTGGCATACACCTATTCAACATTACAGCCTCAACTGCACTAGGCACATTGCCAGCAGGATGCTGCGATGAAATTTCTTCTTCTGCCTCTGTTGACCTCAGTAACAACAAATCATATCACCAGCTGGTCACTGAATATGGCTATTTGCATCCATTTTCACACAGCTGAAGCAGATGCACCGGCACGCATCCACTTTCCTCTAATCCACATGCACAACTGTCAACATTACCTTCCGTAAACGTTCCTTGATATTTCAAAACGAATATCTACAAAGCAAAGCTCGTAAAATGCATTCTCAATGTGGCGCGCATTCTTCGTGTAGTAATGTTATTAGCAAGGATAATGCAGTAAAGCCAAATGATTAACACAGAGTAAGTCAATAATCCAACTCCCTTAAACCATCAAAATTTTGTCATAATAAGCACATCCCTGCTTTATTCTTCTGTCTTTGTGCTGTGGTTTGCTGTTTCCACCTTTGACTCTGCTTTCTGTTACAGTCTCTCTATTTGACATTAGGACCCAACAACTCTTTGGCCCTGACTCATGTTAACTCACAAGGCAGCACGCTCACAGGCCTGCTTAGAATATCCTCTCCTCTGCTCCACTAGCACAGAGGCTACTGTTCACACAGAAATCCTAGAGTATGCACCGTGCAGCACACATCCTTCGCTTCAACCGGGGATTCAAGGCAGTTTGCATACTCGGTTATTAACAGGAGTATATATTTTAGTACTACTAACTAATCCATAAAAGAAAAATGCAAGGTTAAATGTTGCGCTTATGGATATGCAAATTGTAGAGTTATCACAAAAAACAACACTTGAACGTTAAGAAGCAACACCTTTGGATTTTTTTGTTGTTGTTGTTTTTTGGGAGACATTTTGCAGATATGTTTTTGAGGAGTTGGCTTTTGCATGCCTGATGCTGTTGATTACAATGGCTGTAAGTGTAGGTTAAAATGAAAGAAATACTTTTACTCGTCCGAGCTTCTATACTGCACGGTAATTAACATGAGGAAAAAACCTAATTAAAAGATTGCATCAAAATAATTGGGTTTTGAAATGTCCTGCAATCCTCTTTTAGTTTAAAATGAACTACTTTAGTCTTTTTAATTGAATAGAGGAGCGAGTATGTTTACTTTCCAGCAGGTTTAAGTACGTTGACCTTTGACACTGAAAGCATACACACCTCGCCCCTGCTATTCCATTTCATTCCTTTCTGCTTTTATATTCCTGAGTATCTCTTACTCAAGCACAGTGGTCCATTTCTTGTATCAGCACTTCTCATCTGCTGCACTCTGCGACGTAACCCCCCCCCTCACACACACATACTCTCCTTGTGGTGCAGTTCAGGCCATTCACCAATCATGCGAGAGCCATGACGGCCAAGTTATATATCCCCTATTCCATCTGTAGCTGGCACTCTTGCATCACATTTGCTCTGTTTCCTTCTTCCTCAAGCGCCTTTGCTTTTGCTTTCTTTCACTCTTCCTGAATTCCTTTCCCCTCTTTTGGTAGCTCCATTTCCATCTTTTCCTCGTTTTCAGGTTAGTTTTTTTTCAATTGCTTTTCCTCCATTTTTTCCTTTCTCCCACCATGCTTATCTTTCTTTGTGTCTTTTAATTAACCTCTTCTCATCACTTCCATGTTGTCTTCTGTATTTCTTTTAGTCTCCCACCACATCGAGTTCTGCCACATTTTTCTGCGTACTTATTTTCTGTGATTGCTTTCTGCTCTTTGCTTATTATACTTGCCTGTTTATCAATTTTTACCAAATTTCCACCTTCCCAATAACTTATTTTAAGTAATCTGCCACAAAATCTCACTTAAAATGTCTTTGATATATCTTAGTTTCTATATCGTTACATCTTCTTTGTCCTCTAAGTCATCTCCCTCCCTGCCCTACAGGCTCGGTGAGCTGTGGTTAAATAGGTTCATCTTACCCTGCTTCCTCTTTCAAATGGCTTCATGATTGCTAATGAAGCACATAAACAGGAAAAGGAAAAAACATGATGTGAAGGAGGAAGGGATGTGGAGAAGTGTTTTCCATGGAGACGGGCTCTTCACCGACTGGCAAGCTGATTGGCTGATTGATGACCCTGTAGCCATTTTGACCGATTAGCATGATGGAGCCTTTTATAGCACAGTGCAGCTTAATATGTGATCACATTGCACAGCATACTTTTTTCTCTTTCTGCTTCTGGGTTGAACAGTGTGATGAAGCATAAGCCCCATCCTGCTATACCTCACTGGGGCAAAGGAGGTGTAATATAGCACTGCCAAGCATATGATAGACTGTCATAACAGAGCTGAATGCGTAATATGGTGCTTACATCTGTCCAGTTAGTTACAATCCATCTAATCCCACAACATTATCTATTTAAAAAGAGCGTGCTGATCCTGCTTTCTTACACTTGTTTGAACATTCCTCTCACACGTGTCCCATTAGAGACAACCGGGAGCTCATTGTCTGGATTTGCATAGTTATCAAAACAATTACAAGTAAACAAAAGATGTGGGAGACAACGGCATGCAAACTGAGATATGAGAGTTAGCTAGAAATGGTCAGTACAAGATGAAGTGGTCACGTTAACTCTTCAATTTAAATAATTCAACTTGCTATCTTTTCTTTCTGTTGCAGTTCTATACGTATCCCAGCACACTACAAAATGAATGTATGGCAGAAAAAGCAGGGTAGGACAGCAAGAACTGTTGCTGATTTGATCTCATTTTTGTCCAGGTGGCCTGTCTGGACAGCCCTGGATGCACTGCAGTAGGTTAGTTTTTAGGTTGGTCATATCTGAACATAAAATCTATTTTTTTGTATTGTGTATCAGGAGATTCTTTCCTTTTGGGCTGCCTCTAAGTATTTTCAGCTCTCATCGTTTTTGTCTTGTTTTATTTTTTTCTCTCCAGATGTCTCTTTTCATTGGGATGGTTATATCATACCCCTGTAATGTACAATGTTAGACCTCTAAATTATACATTTACATTACATGCTCCTATTCTACAACAATTTGATGTTTCCAAGCACAAGACATCTACTAAAACATTTGTAAAAAGGTGTGCTTTGCTGTGTCCTTCAGCAGTCTTTTTTGACCTCCATTTCTTACACCAGCACACGTCATCTCCATCTTGTCCTTTTCAAATTTTTAGGAACTGGACTTTTACCCCTTCAAATAAACATCAGTCTGCTCTTCTGTTAGCCTCTATTGCACATTGAGCTGATATGCTCTCAGCTTTTGTCACACTCCTTTTTTTTGTTTAAGATTTAACCTCTGTCGCTATACTTCCAGTGACACAAAGTTTGAAATGCCACATTGTCAAAGAGAGAAGTTCAGATATTTTAGGTGCTCACCTCACAAGTACTACTTTTAACTGCCACGCTTACTGATTATGTAAACAGGTGTTGTGAACTTCACTACCAGCCATAAGCTTCGCTCCCAGTACACATCTGTGACTGTGGATCTTTTCACGTCTTCGTTCTAATAATGTTTTGATTAGCTAAGGAGTATCTATGCTGGTTGTGATGATAATGATCAACACAACTCCCACGGAGATCTTTTGTAGTATTCTCTTGGTCATCTCTCACCCACATGTTGCCCACTCCAAGCATGGTATGTTGCTGTTTACTGAAATGTTCTCCCAGTGTACTGCACACCACCTTCTCTTTTACATTTCAACAAACAGAGCTCGAGACACAGTATTGTCATTAAATAAGAGAAAAGAAACAGTCACAGAAAATGTTGGCGGGTCTTTAATGCCCCTCGGCCGAATTCCAGAAAGACAAAATATGTGGTTTACCTGTCTCACAATACTACAGACGGTGTTTCCTATCCACTGTGTATCATTTTTTGTTAGAACTGTGTGGCTTTATTATGATTGAGAGGGGTGATATTGTTGAAGATGAAAAATGCACAGTTAACAGTGAGACCCAAATGCATTTGTCACCATAAAAAGACCCCATACTGATTGATGAAGCCCCAACAGCTGGAAATGTAATGAAAAGAGATATGAAGATCTATATTTTTTGGCAAAGTGCACCTTTTTCACTCATTCAGTTTGATTAATAAGACTACCTTGCAATAGAGAAAATGAGGTAGGTAACACAGATTGGATTCTTGAAGCATTATATCATCAGCATTTCAATTAAAGTATTTGTAATGGCACTACTGTATGTCTCTTTGACTAGACCATCGGTTCTTTTTAACCTGTTAACATGTTTGTTGAACTTAAACTTTCATCAAATGCGTGCTTTGATCAGCCACAGACTGATAAAAGCATCATGACAGTCACTCATGGCTATAAAACAAAAAGTAAGCAAAAAATTAAAAAAAAAGCAGATTGTTGCTGTAAATAATATAATAGGATGTGTGGAGGGATATTTTAAAAAACCCCATCCACTTCTGCACCATGATTCATTCTGCCTGACTCATTCAGCACACTTAGAGTTAAAGTATAGCTGCAGCATCTTACTGCAGTGTCTAAAGCATTTGGCTGATTGTTACAGTATACGCCAGGAAAAGAAGAGGAAGTGGGGGAAAAAACATCTCTTTCTAATACTTTTTTTTTTCTTCCAAAAATCCTTTTTATTGCATTTATAACATTTGGCACAGTACAAATTCTTGGTGCTTTTACAAGATAAACCTGTAAAGATCAACACTGACCTTTTTTTTCCCGGATTTTGTTAAAGAAAGTCTTCTCTGTATAAATATTCTTTTTTCTTATCACTGCATTCTCTGTAGCATGGTGTAAAAATCACACAGAATGCCCTCTGTTAAAACAAGACTACCCTCATTTTTCAAAGTCAAGACAGCATCTTAAACAACTCATTATTTTAAATAGAAGTTACAAGTTAGAAAATAGTTTCAATTTCTTTTTAATATACGTTTCTCTATCACCAACCCATGGTAATTTTAGTTCGTCCATATATATATATTTATTTATAAGCATGTACAACAAGAAATCATCAGTCTTTTAAGTTTTGCACTCTGTACAAAAGTATGTCCTGTCCTTTTTTCGTTGTGCATTCTATTGCATGATTTTTAAATGAGGAAAGGACAAGGGGCGTGTGAAAGAGGGGTGAGTAGGAGCTAGGAAACTGGGAAAAGGGGTGAGAGCCTTTTGGAGGGGCCTTTTTAAATCTGAGTCTCCTGTACCTTCTCCTTGTTGTGAGTTTTTACGACATAGGGCTCAGCCATTGCTGTGATGGCACTGGGCAAGGTTCGCGGCAAAGAGTTCCCAACATTGTTGTCTGTCCATTTAGCCCCATGGCCAGTCGGTTTATAGGTATTATATTTGGGCTTTAGAGTGCTGTAGTCCACCTTATGAGGGCTGTAGTCCAGTTTATGTGGACTGTAATCCAGTTTAGGTCTCTGAGTTTGTGGACTGAAGTCAGACTTGAAGGCGCTGTAATCCACTTTGTGGGGGCTGAAGTCAGTCTTGAAGGCGCTGTAATCTGTTGCAGTCTTATGTGGGGTGTAGTGGTCCTTAGCTTTATAGGTACTGTCTGTTTTAGATCTCTGGGCACTGTACTCTGTTTTGGATTTAGGCTGAGTGCTGTAGTCGGGTTTAAATGGGCTGTAATCACGTCTTGGGTGCGTACCAAAATCAGGCTTGAATGGACTATATTCAGTTTTAGGTCTATGTTGTGTGTTGTAGTCTGATTTTAATGGGCTGTAGTCATGTTTAGTTTTCGGCTGAGTGCTATAGTCCCGTTTGAATGGACTGAAGTCACTCTTCTGCCTGGGATGAGTGCTGTAATCTAGTTTGAATGGGCTGTAGTCTGATTTAGTTTTTGGATGAGTACCAAAGTCTGGCTTGAATGGGCTGTATTCTGCTTTAGGTTTGTGGGTGCTATATTCTGGTCTAAATGGGCTGCAGTCAGGCTTTGGTCTGTGAAGGCTAAAATCCGGCGTAGATTTGTGTGTGTTGTAATCTGTGATGGTTTTGTGGCTGCTAAAGTCCATATTTGGCTTATATGTGGTATACTCAGCCTTCGGCTTGTGAAGTGTGAAATCAGGCTGGGGTTTGTATTCAGCCTTGGGTTTGTGAAAGCTGTAGTCAGTCTTGTGGCTGATAAAGTCCAACTTATGTATGCTGTTATGGTCTCGGATTTCAGGCAATGTGAGAGCTGACTCTTGGGCTGCAGATGCTGGTGGTGGAAGGTCCTCCTCATCCACCTGAATAATCTCAACAGTGCGGGCAGCTGCCACGGTGCTCCTCTGCTGGTGGCGCTTTCTCAATTTGTAGAAGGCAATGAGCATGACAGCAGCCAATAGTGTCACTGCCACAAAGCAGCCTATTATGATCTTAGTAGTCTTCATCACTTCATCGAGGCTAGGCCCAGACTTGCCTGGCTTGTTAGTCGATTGAATTCCTGGCAACACAGATGGTTTAGCTGCCCCTGGTGGACTGTCAGTGTTTTGCAACAGTACAGTTGGGGTGGAGATGAAGACTGGTTGAAAGACAGAAGGAGAGGCAGTTGTAGTTGTTGTCCCTAGGCCTACTCCTCCCCCAGCAACACCAGCGCCTGCAGCAGCTGCAGTGGTTGTTGTAGTTTTAGGTTTGGGCATCTCAGTGGTTGGCCCCAAGACCTCCACGGTCACTGTGGTAAAGTAACTTAAGTTGGATGTATTAAGCTCAGCTGCACTCACATTGAGGTAGGCTGAGGCATTAGAGTTCCCAGCTGCATTGGAGACCATGCAGGTATAGGTGCCTGTGTCTACTGCAAGGACATTTGAGAAATTAAGGGTACCATCATTGAGGACTGATATTCTTGGGTGACTAGAGGCATGTGTCAGTATAGTGCCATTGGGTAGGAGCCAGCGCACTGAAGACATTGGAGCTGTGCGGCATCGAAGCTCAGCCACTCGCCCTGCTGAGATGTTCAAGTCCCTTGGTGCATCAGCAATGAATGGTGCAGAACACTGGACTGCAGCACCCTCACCTCGGTCCACGTCCACCAGCTGTCGACCTCTCATGCTCGCAGGGGAGTGACAACGTCCACAGCAAGTTGAATTAGTAGGGATGTACTCCCTTAGCCAGCGTGCTAACCATACAGCCTCACAACCACAGTTCCAAGGGTTATGGTGGAGGTGGAGCTCCACCAGGTACCTGAGCGGGGAGAACAAATCATGTGGCACAGCGCTCAGATTGTTATGGGCAAGATTAAGCTCCACCAGTGAAGATAGGTCATCGAAAGCATTGCGCTCTATTACTGTGATTTGAGAGTTCATCACCCATAGCTTTTTCAATGAGCGCAGACCTTTGAAAGAGCCTGGTTTTATCATTGGAAAGAGATTTTCAGAAATCTCTAGCTCCTCGAGGCCTTTGAGGGGACTTAGGTTTGGCATATCACCCCTTATGTTGCACATTCCCAGGTTGAGGTACTTGAGATTTTGTAGGCCCTCAAAAGCTCCTTCTGAGATGTACTCCAGTTTCCTTAACTCTCCCAGGTCCAGTCGCATGAGTGAGGGTACCCGGTTGAAGGCATAGGAAGGAATACTTTCAATGGGGTTGTTCCTCAACCATAGTTCTCTTAGTTTGGATAGGTATTCAAAGGCCCCACTGGGCACCACCGTCAACCGGTTGTCAAACAGCTCCAGTGTGTTGAGGCTGGTGAGTCCATTAAACGCGCCCACCTCAATCTGCCGAATGGCATTTCGCCCAAGCTGGAGCACCTCAAGGTGGTGCAGATGGCGGAAGGAGTCAGCCTGCACCGCCTCAATGGCGTTTTCCATTAGATTGAGGTGTCGCGTGTTGGCAGGAATCCCAGGGGGGACACGGGTGAGGCCACGACGGGTGCAAACCACTTTCCCCTGCTGATTACTACAAGAACACTGCGGTGGACAGCCCTGGGGTCCTTGAGACACCGCCGCCCCCGCCAAGGCCAGGGAGGCGCTGCTCCACGCTCGCACCATCAGGAAGACTACACAGAGCAGGGCGGCTTTCCTGGCACGATGCACAGCTACCCGCCCCAGGAGACTCATGATGTGGCACGTTCATAATTCAGCATCATCTGGGGGGGAGGATGGGGATGTTTGGGGCTGGTGTTTTGGGGGTGTGGGTGCAAGGAAATCAGCTGTTTGGCTAGCAGTACTGTTTATGGGGCCAAAGTAATAAGGTTAAGGGAACTGATGTGGGCAAGGGGAGAGCAAGGGTTTAGGTGGTTGCTAAGGGGCAAGAGGACTCGACCTGTCCTCAGTTAAGGGGTGATTTTATTTCCATGAACTGTGCTCAGGGGCAGAAAGAAATGGGGTGGTGGAGAGGACTGGGTTTTCTGAAATATGTGTATGAGAAGAACATGATGGCAAATTAAGCAACCAAAAACCGTATTACAAGACAGAGGGGAGGGGAGGGTGTTACAAATTGATGCAGAGAGGGTTTGAAACACTAGACACCTACCTCAAGTTATTATTACAGGTCCTTGAACTGAGATATATAGCTTCCCTCCTTTTTGCAATCAGAAAGAGCTGATGTATTCGCATCAGATGTATTTATATCCAAGAGCAGCAAAGAAAACCTTTTATGTTTGCCCTGTCAAAGCGGGCATCAGTGCCAAAGAGCTTAAACAAGGTGAGCCCTTTTGTAAATCCATACATCCAAAGAGAAAGGTTCGAAGGCCCTTTTGTGAATGTTTTTCTTCCTTTACGTGCCGATTACCAAGAAAAAAAAAAGGAGGGGGAAACGACTGTAGCTAGGAATCCAGTCAGGCTCCCAAAGCAGCAGTGCTCCCTTGCTCGCTCTTCGCTGTCGGCTCCTCTTCTCTTGCTTGTCCTTGGAATCCGACAGTTGATCCCCCCGTTAAACACCTTAGCCAGGTCTCCATAGTCCAGGCAACCACAGAGATGCACACGCACTATTGTTTTTTGTTTTGTGCAACAAAACCCAAGGCAGGAAACAACAAAAGGAGGGAGGGAGGTAGAAGGAATTACAATTAGAGAAAGATAAAAAAAAAAAAATCCAGTCCTTTCCAGTGTTCTATGTTTTTTGTTTGTAGTGAAAAGGAGGGGTTAAAAAACAGAAAAAAAAAAAACCAGTCCTCCTTATCTGTATTCCTCTTTTCACTTTTTAGTAGTCAATCAGTTGGTCGGTTGGTCAGTCTGACAGCCCTTCTCCCTCTCTTGCACTCTTTTCTTTGCTCCCCTTTTCAACGCAGTGTCATGTCCACTTGATTCTTCTTTATTTTATTTTTTTTTCTCCTTTCCTCCTGGGGAGCTCTTGGCAGCAGTTGAAAAGGCTAGGCGACACACACAGCCTTCATTATCTTCTTTCTCCTCTTAACTAGCCACATGCTCCAGCCTCGGCAGCCGCGGTGGCGACAGCAGCAATTGCGAACGCACACACACCATCCCCACGAAGCATACAGCGGCAGTAGCGAGCACACACACAGCAGCAGCTGCAGCCTGCCTCCCGTGCACTTCCCAATAATCCGTCAGTTTCTTCAGAGGGGGAGTGGGGTGGGGGATGGAAGGGGGTGCTGGGAGGAGTGGGGGTATTGTAGCTGGGTTGATCGAGGTGGGTTAGAGGGAGGAGGGATGGCGCGCAGTTTCTCCTTCCTCTCTCTGGGTTGTTTCTTTTTTCTTCTTGTTTCCAGTTCTTGTCTTTTTTTTTTCTCCCCCTCCTTTTCTTGTGGTGATCAGCACCCCCTCGCAAATGCAGCGTCCAACTGGGAGAGGAGCAAGGTAGAGAAGGCAAGCGCTGGGCAAGCGCGGCTTACAGGCGTGACGTTAACAGCAGCGTCGATGTGGAAAGGATCCGTTGTAGCAGCGAAAGAGAGAGCATGCACCGTCTCTCTATCTCCCACTCTCTCTCTCTCTCTCTCTTTCTCTCATACACACCCTCTCTTGCTCTCTCTCACACCCTCTTTCTCTCCCTGCCTCCCTCACACTCTCTGCAGTGTCCTGAGGTATTTGGGTGAGCTCAAAGCACTCAGACCTTTTTAGAGATCTACCTCTTCAAAAACCAGTTTGCTCCTGCTGTCCTTCGCTCTCCTTTTTTTTTTTTTTTTTTAATGCTCATAGTCTCTTGTTCTGTGCCTTTCTGGGGCTTTTGTGGCTTAGGGGAATGGACAGGCTGTCCAAGCACAAGTCAGAGATGGACAGTGGCATCCCCACAGCAACCATATTTTAACCCCCTTGTGCCCAGCAGTACTCCAAACATTCCAACGACTCTGGCAAAGCTTTCCAGTTTTGCTTTGGTGGTAAGGATGGGTTCACCGCTTCTCTCACTTTCTGGTTTCCTCTCTTTCATCATGCTCTCTCTCTCTTTCCTTTCTCAGCCCCCTCACTCTTTATCTTTGTTTTCCTTTCACTTGAGCTCTCTTTGCTCTCACTCTTTTTGCCTCATCCTTTCGTGGAAAATAGAGGAACATGAATGGACTGCTGACGCATCCTGCTTGGAGCGGTGCTTGGGTTTGATGCAGTGTGTTATGTGCATTAACTCCCTCCACCCACTCCACCCTCACCCTCCTCACTATCTTTCCCACTTTGCTCACTCCTGGTCTGTCATTGTGTCACTCTTCTGGCTGGCTATTTCTTTACACGAAGCCTCTTAGAAGTTCATGTTTACACAACTTTTTTTGGTCACCAAATTCCATCTTTAGTTTTATTTCACAGGTTGGAATGAAGTATAATCCCCATTTCTTGCTTCAGCTCCGGGAAATTAAAAGTTTACTTTGCTAAATCCATAATCAGATACTTTTACTCAACTTGGGACTGCAGTAGGACTTCAGAAGTGACTCTAAAATCAAAGAATTTCTTTAAAAGAATACTGGAAAATAAATACTGGAAAGTGAAGTACATTGTATATAATGGAGAATCTCCATCCTCTTCCACGTCATACGCCTTTGAAGGTAGTTAGAGCACTTTAAACAGGCAGACCTTAACCCTCAATTTGAGCAGAAAGCACACAGCCATAAAGGTCATGTTAAAGGAGGCACAATAGAGAAAACAAGACAAGCTTTACCTTCCTGATGGAAGTGGGAGAGGTAGAACAAATGAAGCAGACCTGTCCTGTAACCCTCTACCTCAAATGATTTGCACCAGCCTCATGCCCATTAAACAAGGTAGCAGTGTGGGTAATTTATGCTTGGTAAAGCTAGCTGTGACACTGCTGCTAGGTGTGTGCATTCATGTCCAAGGTAGAGAGTAAGCGTGTGAAAAAAGAGAGACAAAAAGAGGAAGGAGAGAAGGCACACGAGCTAGAAAAGGTCACACTGCCTGTAGCGCAGTACGTTATTCCCACTGGCACAGGAGTATAGAGCCAACTCCTATATTATACACACACAGACTTTCTCCTTGACTTCACTGCAGTTGAATATGAACAGGCTTCAATGAAGCACATGTAACAGCGAGGTGGCAGCCACAGGAGTATAGGGGAGATTTTCCAGTATTATGAAAGAAAAGCTATTTCGTCTCCTTTCCTCTGGGATTGCATAGCATCGCAGGCCTGCAGAGCATGATATCGCAGGTGTACTGCAGCTTCTTTAGTGCATTCTCCAAGCAACTGATAATGTGAGATAATGCACTTGCATTTAAACAAGCATGCTGGAACAGTAAGCTGCACATGGAAGCTCGCAGATGTGATTTTTAGGTACAGAAGTTAAATTTACTACTGTGTGCATAACGGCACTCCTTTGTTTGTGCCGGGTGCTGCCTCTGCACTGTTCTTTAAGTGTGGTGTGCCACCGTTTCATGAGCAAGTGACCCAGAATGGGTTCAGGTTGCGTTTTACCCACCCAGGACAGTACTTCTTGGACTAATGTCTAACCAAAATCATCCACTGACCCGTAGAGTGACCACCACTGCAAGGGCAGCTCTCGCCTCTTGGCCCTTATCCTGTCCATTTCTCTCTTAGCTGTCTTTTTTTTAAAAAAAATTCCTGCTCAATTTTTGTCTTTCCGTGGATACGCCGCTTTCTCAGTACTGATGGAGCCTGGGTCATGCCCTGCCAAATGCTGTAATGCTCCACTGACCAAAAGCGGGCAGCCTTTTGCGTAATAGTTTGATTCTGCCCCAGAATGGCGAAAACAGCCTGATAGCCAGCCAAGCGCTGCAATCACTGCAAGGTTTTCCCCAAGTCCCCCCCCAACCAAAAAAAAAAATCTATATATGTATTTTTCTCAAGCTAAATCGAGTTCAGTAGTATACTTGAATCTAAATCAGTTGTTTGGTGGTGCAAGCCAATGTTGAAATTGCAAAACTCTCTTTTTGCAGTTCAGATTATGCCAGGATATCCATGGTGGATAGTAGCTAACATCCAGGTCATATAGTGGTCTCATATGTTCACAGTTTAACATGCACTGTCTTGACAAGATGGGTGTTGTCAGGCCTCACCTTCTGGACTTGCCGAACGATTACATTTTGACGAGCTGTCAGATACGTGGGACCTTCACGCTGTCATGCCAGGCCCAATCGCCTAGTGTGCGACCCCTGCTCTAACTGCTTCACACAAAGCTCTATGGAGCCAAGCGCTGCACCAGGCCAGGAGGGCACTGGTTGTAGTTTAGGGTGCTGCACGACCTACTTTGGTGCAGTTTGTCCGCCAGCATATTCAAGGGGTAT